GCGCATGGGCAATTGCAATTAGTCTCAATATTTACACAAATTATAAACGTAGAGGTCAAAAACCCGTGGGAATACAACTGATAAAGTTCGTAAATATTACATTCACGACTGTCAGTTTTTCATCAAAATACGTTGAGGTGAGCAGGTGCAGCTTCAAGAGCTAGTAAGCAAAGCACTTTATTCAGTATATTTTTTGAATACGCACTGTAGTGAACCGCCCTCCGTTCAATGACCTGCATAAAAATCGCGCCTGTTGACCATCTCTCACCTCTACTCTCTTATGTAAGCTTTGAAGAAAAAATCTTAATCATAGTTGCACCTCCATTAGCAATATAGGGATGGTGCGCTGCCTCGCTTGTAGAAAAAAAAAGAACAGAACTTGGTCGAATTCAGACACATAAGAGACTTACTGGCTTATCTTTCATCAACAAAAATAAAATGTGAATATCATGACACGAGAAAAACATAGCCTGAACAACAAAAACATTTATCAAAAACAATAACAATCAATACAAACGCTGAGCTTTGCCCATTGTTGACTTGATGTTGAGCGAGCGTACGTTCTGCCAGTTTTTCTTGAGAAGTGAGACAAGGAAGTTGATTGATAGCGAGATGTTGGACACGAGCTCTTCTTGGGACATCTCAACATGTCCCACAGCAACGGAGAGGCACAAGACCTATAAAACAGAGTTTGAAGAACAAAACAAACGGCAAAATCAGGAAAACACACCTTCTTCATCTGGAACTTGATAGTTGCCTTAGTTTCTTCTACTTTTGCTGTCAACGGTTCAGCATGGGTTACGACAGACGGGAACTTTCCGGCCTTGTTTAGACCAGGACCAATGATACGAGGGATCTGTTTGATCAGAGACTCGGAAGCGAGGAAGGCATCGTAGCTCTTCGCCAACTTCTTGATCAGTTTTTTGTTCTTGTTTAGCTTCTTCAAGTCGTCTGCGCTCATACATGGAATGCCGTTGGCGTTAGCCTCGTCAAGATGGTGCTGATCTCCAAACACGCAAACTTTCATCGCAGGTCGGGGAATGCTCTTCAGCCTAAAATTGTGGACCTTGGATGACTCTAATACCTCATCAACTTATTGAGGATTTACAAAATAGGTGCCGCAG